TATATATTTCAAGCAAGCAGAGAGTGAATTTATGCCGCGTTACCATTTTCATCTCTTTAACTGGGCCAATGCTCTCCGAACGTATGCAAATTCAAGTGTGCCATCCTTAGATATGTAGTAGCGGGAATTTCGTATTTAAATTGCGTACATACATATATGTGTAGTATGTACATATGTACTTATTTCTATACATACATACCTACAAAGTTTCTGAAATTTTTTCATCTAAATATTGTTGAATATCTACCGCATTCAGTTGTTCCGTTTTAGTCAATCGGTGACCAAATATATACACGCCGCATTTCGTGCCAACCGCTGCAAAAATTAATGCTAGATAACTTTAAAATTTTTATAACAAAAACTGTTGCACTTCGGCATTATTAATTTTGCCTTATTTCTACTAAAAATATCTACAAAGTACGCCACGCGTGTTAAATTGGAAACAACGGTAAATTATAAATTTCGAAAACGGAGGGAATTCTACAGCATTTCAACTTCTTCAAAATGAGTTCTTCGGGTTTGAGTAGTCGTAGCTCGTCACAACTACTCACAACGTCACCGACACAAATCGCCGGACCACCAGTGCCGCCTGGGCGAAAGAAACGGCCCAAATCGTTTATGCTAGTAAGGTTCATAACTGTTTTACTTAGTTGCGGACAAACTCAATTTTGAATAAAAGTTTAAGTTTTAATTTTTTATAAATACATAATACATTGAAATAAATGCATACGTATGTGTGTATGTATGTATAGATATATAAAAAAAAAAAAAAAAAACGTGTAGCGAGTCGTCACTAGAATCAGTAGAAAATGAGTGCCATCTTTGGGCCCCTCATAAATCGCTTGTACACAAACGAAGGCGAAAATATGATGAGTGGGGGGTCACCCGCAAGAAGAAGTGAGTTTTTTATTTAAATTGTCAAGTCCAAGCGGAATATCATCTTGGCTTGGGAGGAAATGAAAACTCTTTACCCACAACTTTACGGTTTTTCAAAATAATACTGCCATTTAGTTGGTACCTCGGTGCTTGCTAAATGCCTTTTTTCAAAAGCTGGCGCTACAGCCACCGAGAAACGCAACCGCTTCAAAAAAAAAAAATGCAAAATTTTGTTTTTTCCAAACTGCGTTAAATAATAAATAATTTTCGCCGCTAAAACTACTCGTTGTATTTTATTTATGCCTAATTAACAAGAGAATTAGAAATTTTTTATGGAAAAGTGTTTTTGTGAATATTCACTCTAAAAAAGAGTCTTAATAATTGCAAATATATTTTTTTGGCTTGTGATTGTGTGTGTTTGGGTATGATTAATTAATTAGTAATTAAATTTTTTTGTCACCTCTAATCTTCACACATACGTATATAATTTTATGCTTTTTAAATAACGTTCGGGAGAGTTGCCGGAATATTCGGTGAATACGGTATAGAAAATACACCGCATAGGTACTCCAATTCAAATACAAACCAATTTCAGTTATATTCGCCTGCATTCTTCTCGGTAATCTTCCATAGACTGAACGCTTCTCCGTGGAAGATTTCCATATAAACTGGAATGGTAAATATTATCCGACATTTCGGTTTAATTCGTTTTTTCGTTTGGTAAGCAAAAGTACAACATATAGAAGATTTCAGTAAAATCGGAGTATATTTACTACATTTTATCGCAGTTTATTTGGCAATCTCCAATGTGCGGCGTATGAAGTAATCGAAGCCTTTCGCACAATACAGTTTAATCATTATTCTCTCAAATTATTCAAACAAAGCCAAGTTATAAATATTCGGATATTATTTAATATAACCGGAAGTGAACATGTCACATCTAATATCGAAAATGTTAAATACAAATTTTCGTGGATCGAAGTACAACGCATGCATGTGTATGTGCATTAAGGTGGTTCAAAATAAGTAAAGTCGGAATTTTAATGCGCTCACCCAATAGGATTGTTCTATATCGAAAAAATGTACCCCTATTTTTTATTTTGAAATCAAAAAATGTCTAGAGGTCGCGCAAAGTGCTCAAAGTTTTCCATGTATTTTATAAGGGGAAAAAACACTTTTCGTAGAAATGGTATGGAAATCTTGAAAATCAATATTTTTCGATCAGAAAACTCTGGTTCTCTTCAGGAGACTTCCCATAACAATATCCATTTTTTAAAACTAAAGATTTTTTGTTTATCACCCCATTACATTTTCTGGCATTTTCTGGGGGTTTTGGCGGACCTATAAAATATAGTTACTTAAACAAAAAAAATGGTTAAATAAATAATTGGGTATTATTATTGGGAATCTATTGAAGAGAAACAGATTTCTTCGATCGAAAAATATTGATTTTCAAGAATTCTATATCTGTTATACGAAAAGTGGATTTTTCCGCTACCTCTAAATAATTTTTGATTTCAAATATTGTATATCGTTTCGGTATAGAACAGTCCTAGGGGGTGAGAGCATAAAAATTCCGACTTTAATTTTTCAGATGCATTTTTGGAACACCCTAGTGTACATGTGTATGTATTCCTTTTACGTAGCCACTTACTTAAAAATAGTCTTTGATACGTATTTGCGTCCAACGTTTTGGCTAATGAAATCCTCCATGCAATATTTACTTACATACCATGTATGAGTGTGTGTGTGCTTGTTATTTTGATTTTGTTTTTATCTGCTGTAATAAAGAAAAATCAAGGCCAAACACTTCTAAATTTAGATTAAAATATGTTCATAGATTTGTTGGCGTCACATTTTAGTTTCTAAAAGTACTAAATTTCAACAGTGACGAAAAAATGATACATTAATTTCTAAAATTTGATATAGTAGTCGTTCTAAAAAGTCTTTTTCCCACTAAAATAACAATTTTTATGAAACGTGTTTGATCGGAATTGAATAAAAGCTCTGATTATATTGCAGTAGCTTAAACCTTAATCCCGGGTGTGGTGCGTCAGTTCCAGAAAGACCAAGTTGCTGAAGATTGGGCCCTGCGCTAACATGGAATTTTTTCTGGTTTTGTTGGAATTTTACTGAAACCTAAAACGGGATAAAAAAAATTCAAAACTGAAAAGTTCCATGTTAGGGCAGACATTTTATGTAAACTACAGACAACCTGGTTGTCTTTGAAACTTCCAGATCGATATACGTAAATAGCTGTGATTAGCCGATGTGTACCCATATTAGATATTAGAAGTTGGTTTACTCTGAGTACCAGGTAACTCGGGAGTACCTTGTAATGAGACATTCAACCATTTGGTTAGAAAGGCCTCGGACCAGGTATTTCTCGGTCTCCAACCAATTATTGGCGGGTGCGGCTATCGAAGCCACTGTCAAAAATGTGCTGAATGTTTTACTCGGCAATGACTGGGCGGCGATTTTCTCTCCTTTCCTTGAAGAGGAGGTCTTAAGGAATGCCTCGTCTCTTTCTGTGATAACGATATCTATCACTAATAACACCTCCCATCGCTTTAAAGTTAATTTTCTATAATATACATACTAGGGTGCACATCGAAAATGCTTTTTTTTTTGGAAAATTTCCAGAACCACTCCCTAATCTTATTCGGTTTTATGAGAAATATTAGTGCCTATTTTAATAGATTTTTTAAAGGTCTTTTAGAGATCACGACCTGTCGATTTAGATCAGAAAATACGATTTTGTAGATTTATGAGTACAAAATCGTATTTTCTGACTTAAATCGAAAGGTCGCGACCTCTTAAGGATCTTTAAGAAATCTATAAAAATAGCCAATAATATTTCTCACAAAAACGAATAAAATTAGAGGGTAGGGTCTTGAAATTTTCAAAAAAAAAAGCATTTTCGATGGGCACCCTCGGAAAGGTAGAAATGTAATTTATCTTGAAAATTGCTCTCTAAAGTTGAAGCGGGCGGGAACGATGGATTAATCAAATTAGTAATAACATGGTTTATCACATTATTTACATAATTATATGTTTTTAGTTTAAACAATAGAAATACACTGTAAATAACCGTAAAAGTATTATATTTATTAAAAAAATATTTGATTAAAATCCTCAATGTAATTTCGTAAGACACAAATAAAAAGCAAATTTTTCAATTTATGTTTTCAACTGATGAAACTAAGAACATTTATGTATTTATGCATTATTATAATTTTGCGAATGTATTATAACAAGATAATGTCTTAAGTGGGTTTTGTGTAACATTATTATTTAAATGCCAATTCTAAACACATATTAATATACAACTGTAAATATGTATGTAAATCAAATGCTTTAGAAATTTTTTTCGCACACGTCTTGCTAAAATTTTAAGCTTTGCTAGCTATTTTTTGCAGTGTAAGTTGTGTTTTTCATTGTTTTCTCTCTCTCTGTGAGCATGTACACACAATTTACTATTTTATTTACATGCTTTAGTAACGCTACATCGCTAAACTCTCTCTAACTTCATTGCTAACTGCCTCTCTTAAACCCTCCATTTTCATTGCATAGATGTCCCTCTCTACCAACCGTCCACTCTATGAAGAAGAATGGTTTCATGGCGTATTGCCACGCGAAGAAGTCGTACGTCTGCTCAATAACGATGGTGATTTTTTGGTGCGTGAAACCATACGCAACGAAGAGAGTCAAATTGTGCTGAGCGTTTGCTGGAATGGTCATAAGCATTTCATTGTGCAAACCTCCACAGATGGTCACTTCCGCTTTGAAGGTCCGCCATTCCCCAGCATTCAAGAGCTCATCATGCATCAGTATCAATCCGAATTGCCGGTGACGGTAAAATCGGGTGCCATTTTAAAACGTGCCATCTGCCGCGAACGTTGGGAGTTGAGCAATGATGATGTTGTCTTACTAGAGAAAATTGGCAGAGTGAGTAGAGAAGGCTATACGTGCAATTGCTGATTTCATTCGATTTAAATTGCAGGGCAATTTTGGCGATGTTTATAAGGCAAAGTTGAAGTCAACCAAACAGGATGTCGCCGTAAAAACCTGCCGCATGACACTACCCGACGAGCAGAAACGCAAGTTCCTGCAGGAGGGACGAATTCTAAAGCAATATGATCATCCAAACATTGTTAAATTGATTGGAATTTGTGTGCAAAAGCAGCCGATTATGATCGTTATGGAACTCGTACCGGGTAAGTAAAGAATTAGGCAGGCGCATTCGTTTGCAATTATGTACACCAAATCCATTTGATACATAATAGCAGAATATAAGTTTTTTTTCAATTCTGTATAGCTATGTAGCCCGTTTTAGGGATGCAAGCTAAAAAAATACATCGATGTTTTTTTCCATTTGATGCATCGAAATATCGTATAAAAGCGTCGATATTTGCGATGCATCGAAAGATAATATAAAAAGTTTCTTTCAATTAAAAATACATATACAACAAGAAAATGAGAGTTTTGATTTGAGATAAAAATAAAAAAAAATAAAAACATTTCAACAAATTCTTGCCGTTTGAGCAAAAGCACACATAACATTGCAGTACTGATGAATTCAGTACTTCAGGATGAGGACCTAAGCCGAAATCAGGCAGAGGTGTTTAACAAGACCAACGAGCAAAGCCCGAATTGAAAAAAGCGAAAATTACAAACTCAAATTTTGCTTTCTAATAAGCATACATCACTATATTACTTGACTATGTTTATAGACTGTGTGAAACAATTTTGGAATCTGCTATTTAAAATCTGCGCAAATTTCCGAAGGGTTTTAGAGTTTCAATATCATATCAATTAATATCATTTTGTAAAAGGTGGTTTGGTAATAAACGTTTCTACTAATAAATTAGCAATTTATTAGTGCAATTAACTAATATATTTTGCAAAATATTAATATAATGTATATTCTAACAGTGTTTAAATGGCGAAATTTCCACACATTTAGAATAGTTACTAGAGCGAAGAGTTTGCAACTATACAAAATAATTTTAATAAGTACAGTGTACACATTGCACACAAAAGTCGATGCATCGAAACAAATACATCGATATATCTCTATATATATCGGAAGATCCAAAACATCGGTTTTATTCAATGCATCGAATAGCAAACATCGATGTTTCCGATGCATCGATATTTTTTCTGCATCCCTAGCCCATTTATCTAGAATTCCCGTTTCGCGATTTCTCCTGGAATTTCCTGGCAAATCTGATTTCTTTCAAAACAAATTCACAGCTCAGTCACTCTCGTAGCGATTCCAGAGCCGCTCTTAAACAAGTTCTCATAGGGAGCCGAGAGCAAGGCCAACTTTCGAAGTTTACTTATCCAAACGTAGTAATTCAGATTGATATTAACTCAAATTATTTTTAGGCGGTTCATTGCTGAATTATTTGCGTAAGAATTCAAACGCTTTGACGGCACGTCAACAAATGGGAATGTGCCGTGATGCTGCGGCGGGTAAGTTGAAAATGCATATAGTATACTTGCATATATATTTTGGAACATAAGCATTTACATATGTTAATCTAAAATTGATTTCTTTTTCCTGATTTATCAATTTAAAGGCATGCGTTACCTGGAATCCAAAAACTGCATACATCGAGATCTTGCTGCGCGCAATTGTCTGGTCGATTTTGAAAATCAAGTAAAGATTTCCGATTTTGGAATGTCGCGTGAAGAGGAAGAGTATATAGGTAAGTTAAAAGAAAAATCTATAAAATTATCATAAGGCTAAAAATCTTTAAACCTCTATTACGAACGTTTGATTTGATAAAAACGAAAAAAAATAAAAAAAAAATGTTACGTATTTTACAGTTTCCGATGGCATGAAACAGATACCGGTTAAATGGACTGCGCCGGAGGCCTTGAACTTTGGCAAATATACTTCATTGTGTGATGTTTGGTCTTATGGTATTTTAATGTGGGAAATTTTCTCTAAAGGCGATACACCCTACTCAGGCATGAGTAATTCGCGAGCACGGGAACGAATCGATGCTGGTGAGTACAACAACGTAATGCTATCGTTTTAAAGTACACGCAGTTAAACGAAATAAATATGTATGTGCATATTTAAACGTAACCCATGAATAATGATAGATAATATGTATGTCTTTACCTACATATTTCGGTAGCACTTTGTGGACTAAAAATACGTTATCCGGCAAAATTTTACATCAGAGATTTTCATAGGCAATTTTTCACGTAGAACTTAAACCCATGATAAAAAACATAGTAAGGTAAAACCGTTCTCTCAATTCGTCGGCCATGATTTTTTTTTTTTTTTTTTGAAGTTTGCCAACATTTTAAAATAATATAAAATTGAGAGTAAAAAATGGAATTGTTCAAAGTTGTTGTTGTTTGAGACAGAAAATGAGAATGTGTGTGTGACTTTGTGTGTAAAATTTTAAAATTAAATTGCTTTCAAACGTCAAGAATTTGAAAAATTCCTCTCAGCGGTTCTACCTTCCTATTTTTTATCATGCCTAAACCTGCATTTTCTTATAGATAGCTTTATTACTATAATTAAATAATAAAGAAGCAGAGGGGCTTTTTTTTAGTAAAATGACCAGAAAGCTTAAATTAAACGCTGTACTATTAGATCACGAAAATTATACTCTAAATTGAAAATATCACTTTAGGCATTATGCACCAGGCTCCTTGGGGAATTTCTATGCTAAACAGATAGGCAACAATACATTTTTTGTGGTTTTTGAAAAACAAAGACATTTAGCATCTCCCTTTTCCTCCGACTTTTCGAGAAACCCTTAAACATTCGCCTGATACATTTGATTATAATTACACTGTATAGATGCCGGATCTGAATACCGTTTTTCTAGATCACATAATTTTCCTAAGATATTTTCATTTTAAGCTTGCATTGGGAATGAAAAAATTCAAACTTTAACATGAAAAATGTTACTCATACTTCGTGTACGAGTAGGGACATGTATCGCATGGCGTATGAGTAATATTATTTTTTGCACGTATTTCATATAAAAAATTTTCAATTGATGCCACTACCCAATTTCTATGTAGAATTGCTCGGTAATTCTGAAAATCGAATTAATTTTTTTTTCTATGGATAGGTTTTCTAGATATTTGCAATTTACCGTTATTCAGCTTAAAACAAAAAGTGGTTCCACTTAATCACGTATATCTTACGAGCCAACTTAAGATCTTAAAATGAGATATGTAAAATCAAAGCTAATAAAATTCTCCATAAACCATATATACATCACTTTCCGATACGACTGATAGTTGCTGACAAATTAGTGAATCCAGTTATTTTTTAGTATTAAATGAAAAAATAAAAAAAAATATCAAACTTTAACAGAAGAGAAATTTAAAAAATAACAAGTTCTGTTCGAAATTTTAGCATTTGTGCTAAAGCCTGTTCTGTTACAAAAACAATCAAGTTACTCATAACTTTCATTCTTGTATTGGTCTTTTTCTAAGCGTTATTCTTTAACCTTTTATTAGCAAATTTTTGTTAAATTAATACCATATGCATACACACAAGAAGCAATTGTTTCAGCTCAACCATTTCCGTTGCACCATTGCACCCGTGTACAATTTCCGTTGAATTTGCTAATTTAGTCCCAACCAACCAAAAAAAAAAAAATATTAAGTACTAATGTGTACACCGCCATATCAACGAATTTCGTTCTTCCATCTCTGTTACGTTAGAAGCGATTATTTTTTTGTTACTTTTAGATACAAGTCTTCTTTTACATTTTGTACTCATCACATTATTCCACATTATTCTATGGTTGGCCTTCCGGGATACCATTAGTCGATAGGGAATTATTTAAGAGTACCTCTCGCATTAGTGTGCGCCTTATTTGTATGAACACAATTTTTTTGTAAGCTACTACAAAACAGGACCCCTCCTAGATAGATTAATTGGGTAATAAAAATGTGATCTGCAAAAATGTTTCAAAATCGTATAACGGAAAGCCTTGCCTCAAGAGCTTTAAAGTTGCATACTAAATTTTACATAAAATAAGAAAAAAAGCCTACAAATTAGTAAAAAGAGCTTATACGTTGATCTTACATGCATATAGCACCGCCATTTGCATATCTCTTCAGGTTTGGAAGTTATTGAGATTTTTTTGCCTGACTTTAGGGCTCATGAGCCCTAACAATTTTTTCGCAGGGGAGTTTTGCTTTGTGGGTCAAAGCTGAAAAATAACGCCCGCCTAATGTACATGTATATACTCTATTTATGTGTACATACATATATTCTACATCTAATAAATATTTCTTCTTTTCCAGGTTATCGCATGCCAGCGCCTGAAAACACACCGCCCGAAATGTATCGCCTCATGTTGAAGTGCTGGTCCGCCGAAGCAGATGCACGGCCACATTTCGATGAGATCTATAATGTCGTTGATGCACTGATAATACGTTTAGATAATAGTCATTAACAAGAAAAGGAACAATAAATTTTAAAAAGAAAATGTAAGCAAAGAAAAACTAAATATTTTCATACGACATACATACATACATACATTTTACAAATTGTAAGCAAAATATTAAATTTAAATGTGCTAAAATTCATACATACATACAATTAAGGTGATATACATACATATGTATGTTTACTCATAGGTTAAGTTAAGTTATAAATATTTACAATATAACTTCAAACAAATGGCCACATGTTAATTGTTTTTTTTTATACATATTCGTAATCTTTTTCGAGCTAAATTTTTTTGTTATTTATCTATTAATACTGCTTTAACCAAAAACATATAGATCACAGTTTCCCACTTTATACGAAATTTAGGAAAATTCAACAAATTTTCAACTTTTCATTCTGAATCTTTAGAACATTTTTGAACTTTTTTCCATATAAATAAGCATGAATTTCTTATGAAATAAAGTTCGGGAGACCGTTAGCAACAAAATTCATAAAACTGCATACCCAAAAATTGTCTAAAGATTCAGAATAAAAAATTTAAACTTTGATGAAATTTTTTTGAATTTTCCTAAATTTTGTATAAAGTTTGAAACTGTGATCTATATGTTACGTTAAAGCTTCAACACTATTTTTATATAAAAATAACAAACAAAATTTAGCTCGAAAAACACTACGAATAGTTAAAAAAAAATTCAACACGTGGCCATTTGTTTGAATCACTGTAAAATAGTGTGTTGCATAAAATCATACACAAATATTAAATAAATCGAAAAAAGTAAATTATATATTTTGTAATGCATACCTATACACATACATATGTACATGCATATATTTACACTGTTTAAGCCCATTACTTCTATTCGCATTTTTCATGTATACATACATACACGCTCCCCTCTGTGTGACAACATCACAAAACGAGGGAGAAGCTAGGCCAAACGCTAACATACATATGTTCAAGCGCCAATCATTATTATTATTAAATATGTATATATGTTTTAAGTTGTAGCCGCTTTCGAATACTCTGCTACTCAAATCACTAAGTAACTGCATTAGCAATTCGATTGGCTTACAGCTGTGTAAATAACGGGAATGCAAATATCTATATTTATATGCGTGTGTTTTGTGTATATGTAGTTCATTGCAATTTTGTAAATTAATTTTTGGTTTTTTTAATTGATGAAAGTTGAACAATTAATTCCCAATGCATAATAATGTACTGTACTGTATCCTCGATGTGCCAAAATAATTAAAAAAAAATCAAAATATAAAGCGAATGTAAACACAAGCACTTAAGTCGATTTCCAATATACTTGTGTTTTTTGTTTACATGTGTATGTATTTAAAAAGAAAATAAACTTATAATGTAGATCATTGAGTTTATTAAGTAAGTATGTACTACTTACTACTTTTAAGTGCTAAACAGATAATAATGCTTTCTCGTCGATTGAGAATTGCAGTTAAATCTTAAACTTTTCGTTTGGAAATTTTGAAAATATACTTTTCAAAACTAGTTTAAAACTACACACATATGTACGTGTGTACATACATATTTATGTTTCAAAATATATTATATTACGTATCTTACTATTAAAAACTAATTTGAATTATATTTTAATGATATTTATGTACATATAATAATGATTGTGTTTTTTGTAAAATAAGTTATATTCCTTACATTGCTCAATTTATGGCTAAGTCGTTACTTTCGTAATGCCGTCTTATTGCCAATGCTCATTCATATGTATAAATATCCATATTTTATTATACATAATTATTATTGTTTTTTTTTTTTTATCAAGTTACAATATCACTTTGTATCCTCCACTTGAGAAGTTCCGAATCAAAAAAATGATATTTGCACAGTCCATAAATTTTTGCGGCGAAAGCTAACAGCCAAACGACACAAACCTTAGAAATGTTTGTTCGAAAATTAATCTCCGAGAAAAGCGACTTTGAATTGTAATTTTTTTCCGGCAGTGCGCCATCTTCGAAGTAAAATACTAAAAAGACTATTTTTTACGACCTTTTACCTTTCTCCCTCCCATATGACAATTTGGCGCAAAAAGCAAAGTTTCGGTATTAAAAAAAAAAATTAGAATAAACAATAAAAAGAACTGGAGACGAAATATTATCTTTAATTACATTAAAAAAAAATCGTTTTCTTTTAATAATACGAATTTAATCAAAATACTTAGCATTAAGGACACTAGTTTTCACAAAATGGTTTAAATTTACGGCGGTTGTATAGATACATACATGTATGAGTATAAGATCACAATTTTATGTTTTTATCTTTTTTGTGTCGGTATGCAAACATATATTCGCAATGCTGTTAATATTATCTCTTAAGTTTATGGCATAATTACTACATTTAATTTAGTTTTATTTATTTTTACATACATTTAATTTAGTTTTATTTAAGAAATTATATAAATATGTTCGCCTATACATAAATGCTTACATAAATAAAGATAATTCAATTTAATAAAAATTTTCAGCAAAGCTTAAAGGTTTTTTTATTTTTTGAAAAGTATGGCTACCTTTTTAAAAAATTATATTCAACACATTTAAACTAAATAAATCAATTATAACAAAATGGCTGTCAATCCAAATGGTTTTGAAAAGCTTTGTTTCTTAACTTAAAATCAGTAGGGTTGCCACCGGTTAAAAAATTTAATTCCGTTTGAATTAAGGGAATTAGTTAAGAGAAATATGTGCCACCATATATGTCCATAGGTGCCAAACGAAAGTGGTTTTAGAAGGTAGTAGATAGTTTGCAAATATTTTGAAGAGGTTGCCACATGCTTGAAATATCGAATTTAGCTAACTTATGCACAAACTATGTGAAATATCAAAATATGCATGTGAAACGAAAGAATGTTAAGAACGTGTGGGGTTGCCACATGTTGTAAAAATCAAATACAACTTAATTCATCAGTTAATTAAAATATGTATCGCCATGTGAGACGAAAGACATTTAACAAGTTTTTAGCTTGAAAATCAATTTTAAGAGAGCTGTCGCCTATTTAGATGATCTAAATTAATTATAAAAATACGGTAGTCAAACGAAAGAATATTAAGAAACCTTTAGAAATTGGAATTTTTTAAGAGAGCTGCCACGTGTTTAAAAAGTTATATTCAAATTATTCAATAAGTTGGATGAATTATTAAAGAAGGGGTATTAATCGCAATGGGTTTGAAAAGGCTTTTTATTTCTTAAATATGTTTAAAAAAATCAAATTCAAGTTGAATTAAGGCAATTGGATACAAGAAATACATATCGTCACTACACTCGAATAAAGGCGCGCTAGTGTTTTGACAGCGAAAAAAGGCGTTTAAAAAAATTTTGCGAAAAAAGATGCTTATAAAAAACTTTGGCGAAGTATGTTAAGAGTCTTTGACGCTGAAATTTTTTTATGCGTCTTTTTTCGCCGTCAACTTTTTAACTCGCGCCTTTATGTCCAATGCGTTTCTCGGATGGCGTTGACGTGGACTTACGAAGACATCAACCAGCCGGGCAGAGGCACCTCCTCCATTAAAGGTTCGGACATTCCAGTTGCATGCCCTCAAATCGTAGTCCCATCCGAGGCTTTTGTTTTATTTTTAACTGGAGGGGTTTTTTACTGGGCGTACCCCAAACCCAGCACACAACTCATCGCAGGCCGCTTGCTCCAAAACAAAATCCCGGCTCGGGAATTAAAAAAATTGCATATGGCGCATCCCTGCTCGATTCGAACAGCATTCGGCTGTTTCATATCCAAGTTTTTATGTTATAGTACTTACCTAGTTTTCTCAATTTTTTTTTTTGCCCAGCCGTTTTTGAAATATTGAATTAAAAAAAAACTTCCCTATTTTTAAATGGCCATAACTTTTCAATAAACAGAATTGAGATTTTTCTTTTATTTTCAAAATACTTTTGGAATATAAAACCGAATAATATTTCAAACCTCTCATTTCTATAAAATTAAATATTGCATAAAAATAAATACTGCAAATATTTTAACAAGAATGCATGAATGTGCAACTTTACCAATTTTGAGTTAATGGGTTGACCTGATTAACCTTTGGATGTTCTATGTTATACTTTCTAAAAAAAATTTGTTTAAATTTGCGCATATTAAGATAGGTAACCAGTTGCCCCTCTTCATGAATGCAAATGTACACACCGTGTTAATTAAATTAAACACTGCCCGTTTACTTTTAAATGTGTGGCGTAGAACAAATTTCAAATTAGTTTGCAGAGTTGTAAGCACGGGCCAAAGTTTCCGCATGTTCGATGTTTATTACTACGATTAGATTCCCACAGATAATATTCTGTGTTCATATGGAAAAGTAGCTTATGTCGAAAGGCTGGCTTTAGTATAAATCGGCATTCGCAGCATACCATTGCGAATGACTCACTGGCGCTAAGCCGTTGAACATCTTTTGACAAATAAACGTGGAAGAAATAGTTCCGATACTAGCAAGTCAATATTCTTATTAAGTCTCATCGAAAAATTCCTTGCCGTTTAAAAAATAAAGGGATTGCCGCATTATACTAAAGCCAGCCTTTCGACATAAGCTACTTTTCCATACGAACACAGATATGTACATGTAATTTTGACCTGTTACATTTAGTTCGGTAAGGTGTTATTTTCTACCATTATGGTTAACAATGTTTTACAATCAAACTGGTGGATTGGGAGCTATCTATGAAATTAAAAAAATGCTCAAAACTTCTTTGTCTGCAAATGCCGCCTTCAAGAAAAATTTCTATTTCCGGCTTGTTTGAATTCTCGCTTAACGACATATAACTGAAAATTTAGAAGTTATGAGATGTTTTAAGTACAGTCAGGTTATGGTAGAAAATTAGTCATCAGCATGGTGGTCAATTTCCTTTGAATGCTAAGAGAAGGGTTGTTCGGGATGCAAAATGATGTCTTCGCTTTACAGTTAACTACTGTCCAATATGCGCAACCAATTCTTCAACAAGTACTTTGTAGATTGTTTAGCCGATTTGAACTCGGCGAACG